TAAAAAAAAAATACAAAAATTAGTGTCTTCCACACATTCCATTCTCAGAGGTCACACCTTTCCCCAATAACACCTTTTCAACATATCACACAAGACATTTCCACTTTTATTTTACATGTTTTCTTACGTCAGCTCCACTCTATCTTACAGCAACATGATAGTTCTACCCCCACTGATACTTTGCTCTAGGAATTGCTTCCAGGAAATAATCACACAAGAAGTAGTTATAAGAAAATGCTTAGTGAAGTGGATTTTCAGGGAAGGACTTAAGCAATAGCCCATGACTTGAGTGGAGCTAGTCCCCTCCAAGAGGGCCCATGCCCACAATGGGAGCAGAAGAACCGGCATGCACCCAAGCAGCAGGTTGCCTTTGATTTCCCATACCTGGGACATGGGACTGGGCAAACAGAAAAACCCTCACAGCTCTGTGTTAGCTGTGCACTAATTCCCAACGCCACAGCATGGAGAATCTGGGATGAACAGCATGACCTTCACCTTTACCACCACCACATGACTGTGCGCATGCTTTTATACAGATTCACATACACACTCACATATGACAAAAATAAACTCAAGAGAAGAACAAACTTTGCTCTAGCAAGACGTCTTGGATACAATCGTGATCGTTAACAAAAAAGGTTGGCAGCACCATACCAACCTGGCAAACTAGAAATCACAAGTCAGCAAAAAAGCTACAGGGATGGCTACAAAGAGATCCTCAGTTGCTCTTAAAAAAATATCAGTCCTTATTTTACAGCGAAGTTTGCTTCCTAAGCTAAAAATTTCAATATCCACTAAAAAGGGAAGGAAAAAAAAAAAAAAGAAAATAACTAAATAAGTTAGCCTGGCCGGACGACAGCTATGGAGAAATATGATGATAGTGTAAATCACGGAGGAGGGAGAGGAATTACACAGCATGACTCTAAGGGGCATAAATGAAAGAGTGGGATGAACTTAGGGAAGAGGGTGGCATAGGCCAGAAATACAGAAAGAAAACATACATCAGAAAACACTTCTTAACAGCAAGATACAATATAAAGTAGAATATTTTTCCCACAGAAAGGGAAGTTATTTAAGACTAAATTAGATAAAACACTGGAAAGCACAGCAAAGAAAGCATTTCTGAATTGATGAGGTCATGGATGAGAACACTTAATAAATCCTGTCCTTCTCGCTTCTCATGATTAGGTTTCTCAGTAAGATTTCAGTATAACAACCAACCACACAGCGAAAATACGTTCATTTCTTGTTGGGTTCTTGTCTTGAAAAATACCTTGGATTTCATCAGCATTAAGGTTAGAAGTGTCATTCGCATTTGATGCAACAATTACACACTGAACTATTTAAGCAATATTCATAATTTTAATCCCCTATTACTTATTCTCTGACCTATTGCTGTAACACAAAATTATCCTTTTAATTCTGGAATTTTATAGCATTTTTATTTCAGGCATTTCAAAGTACTTTACCAACATATGTCTACTATCAACATCTATCAAAATTAATATGGTGTATATCTATTATACATATATATAGTTGCATGTCATAGATCCAGATGTTAGCCCACAATTGCTGAACTGTCCAGCTGCTTAACATGATACATAATTAGCCGGCAACATGATGCCCATGAAATCCTCTGGTGTTGCACATGGCCACAGGAAATTAGATTAAAACTGAGGCCAACAAGGAAAACAAAATTCAGTGTTTCTTTCAGTTTGATGCCTGCAGCATGAGAGATCATGAACCAGCAAAGGTTTAGGAGCAGTGGTAAAACAGCTATTCTCCCACATGACCAAGTATTACAACAGAAAACCCACTACTGGGCTGTGGGTGGGTTTGTTTGGTTTTTCCTATTACTACTATTCTTACAGTCTTACTTTAAAGAATACACAACATTCTGCAACTCAGTTCAGAAAGAGATGGTGTAACTCACAAAAAGCGACTGAGAAGAGTTTTGTCGTGTTTTTTTCTTCCCTCTGAACTCTTAGGTAGAGTTTTCCAAAATGCGCAAACAATTCAGCAGCATAGCTGAATTTGAAACACGGACATTTCTCCTCCTGATTAAAAATGTTCTTTTCTATAGGGCAACCAAATAAATATATATTTTTTAAAAAAGCAGAGTTATTCAAGGCATCCTTTTGATACTGTGGAAATCTTACTACAGGGAATGGTTGAATTATAGTATGTTACATTTCTGACTGAAATCCCAGAATTCTCATGATTTATAGTCCTTATTTTAAAGGTCCTACTCTACACTGGGTAGGATCTCACTGTGCACGACACTATCCGTCAAGAACTAAGAGCAGGGAAGCACAGAGAGAAACCACACCGCAGCAGCAGGGAAAAGTTAGCACGTTTTCACAAACTGAAAAAACAGTAATTGAGAGAGGATAATATCACGACAATCAATTATCATTCTGACCCCCAAAGAAAAATAATGAACACAAACAGCAGTGTACCAGGAAAGCATATGCTCTCTTAAAGTGTTGAGTGCCATGTCATAAAGCTGAAATAGTGTACCGCAAGGAACAATTCGGCAACGTACGACAAAACATCCAATATGTACCGGAGAATGTAACAGCTGTTTCCTTTCACACCAGTCCACGGTCTCTGCAGGTATTTCATCCAAATTCTCCCTACCTTTTTTTTTTAGCAGCTACGTCTTTAAAATATTAGTCACTATTCCAGATACTGATACTATTATATCATTCTCAAAGTGCTTATTTATCCCAAGGGATGCAGAAGGGCAAGGCACAGGCCACCTTCCTTCCTCAGGCCAAATGCCAAAAGCAAAGACTTCTGTACAAATGAACACCCACCAACCCCCTTCAACAATGGTTATATGTACCACTGCAATTAAGAAAAACATATCTCTAGCCCCATCCCCATAAAATGTAACAATGAAACAGCACTGAGTTTTAAACCAGAGAACTTTGGGGGTAAAAAAACCAAACCATCTGCCCATGTCTTGGTTGGTCCTGGCTTGGTGTCTAGATTAAACTCAGGTGTGGATTCCCCCTAGGGAATGAGGAGGCAGTTAACGAAGTGATCGTTACTGCTTCCCTATATCCAGGCTCCAGTGCCACAGGACACAACAGTGGTCACTTGGGCTGTGTCTGTCCTTCAAATTCTCTGCAGGCTTGCAGTGATGCACGTACACAGAAGGCTAGCAGAAACACCTGTACCCCAGTCACAGCAGAGGCAATGCCCACTTACTGCAGAATGACAAGACTTCTGAGACCATAATCCATCGCTTCCGAGAAAATGCAATAATAAAATACGTAAGAAAATAATTAATTTTTTCAGTCCACAGCACCAATCCAACTGCACAAAGCTTACAAGTTTCTGCAACAAATTGTTCTTCCCTTCTTGGGTGTAATAAAGGTTAAACCAGGAAAGGGGGACAAGAGGAAAGTCTTTTTTCCTTTGCATTTGATAATACATTACATGTGCTTATTCTAAACATAGGAGGTTTCCATGCTTCTTTAAGAGAAAAACATGGTTATCTAAAAAAAAATTTAAAAAAATTTTTAAAAAGTCACAAAAACTGTCAGCGAGATTCAGGAACAGGATTAGTACCTGAGGCTATTTCAAAATCATTTATAATTACTTTACAAATATTAAATCAATAGTGTTCTTGTAAACAAAATTTACTTAATGTGTTTTGCTTTCTTCCCAATTACTCTCTCATCTTTTAGAGCTGAAGACTGTACCATCAAAACTTTATTTCTCACAGTAATGGAGAGGGCTGTCGTAAAATTAGATGGAGTAACTGCCACGCCCATCTACAGAATGATTTCGCATAACTTTGCTGAACTCCCAAAGCTAGGTTTTGCTCTGTACACGACGGACCTTTATCTTTCAAGCTGTCTGAAGCCCACAATTAAAACAAAGGGCAGGGTGGCCACTGCTGCTTTAACAGAAGATAGTAAATCATAGAATCATAGAATAGTTTGGGTTGGAAGGGACCTCTAAAGGTCATCTAGTCCAACCCCCCTGCCGTGGGCAGGGACATCTTCAACTACATCAGGTTGCTCAGAGCCCCGGCCAACCTGACCTCGAATGTTTCCAGGGATGATGGGACATCCACCACCTCTCTGGGCAACCTGTGCCAGTGTTTCACCACCCTCAGTGTAAAAAATTTCTTCCTTCTATCTAGTCTAAATCTTCCCCCCTTTAGTTTAAAGCCATTCCCCCTTGTCCTGTCGCAACAGGCCCTGCTAAAAAGTTTGCCGCCATCTTTTTTATAAGCCCCCTTGAAGTACTGATAGGCTGCAAGAAGGTCTCCCCGAAACCTTCTCTCTTCTAGGCTGAACAACCCCAACTCTCTCAGCCTTTCTTCATAGGAGAGGTGTTCC